AGAAGATAAGATTCTGTCAGTACAAGCGACAGAGTTTACTGGAAGATGGGATGTGGGAAGAGGCAAGCGTCCAGCCTGGGGAATGAGATGCAAATCAACAGGGACACAGGCTTTCACAATGGGCTGGATTGAGAGGAGTCACACAGGAACAGAACAGTTTGGGATATTTTGTTTATCAGCAACAAAACACCATGGTCCCATCTCTCAAATATGAATGTGCTAAAAATGTGTTGGTCTAGGTTGTTGTAGGACTTTCTTTAAGTTTACAAGCATGAATCTTTAATAATTTTTAATGTTTGAAAATCATGTATCAGTTGCCTCAGTGTTATGACAATTGCTCCAAATTCTCATTTAAAAAATTATGCAGAGGGGCAGGAGCTATGGCACAGCAGGTTAAATCTTCACTTGCAATGCCCCATTGCACATTAGAGTGCAGTTTACAGTCCAGCTTCCAATCCATCTGGTGCCTGTTGGAAGGCAGCAGATAAAAGTCCAAGTACTTGGACTCCTGCCATCCACCTGGGAGACCTAGATGGAGTTCTAGGCTCTAGCTATCAGGGACTTTGGAAAGCATCAGTCAAACCCTCATTTTCTAGAAAAAGGAACTGAAGCCCAGAAAGACAAAATAAATTGCTCAGAGTAACTAGTGGGACATACAGGACTGAAATACAGGTATCCAAGTATCTAGTCCATTGCTATCTGTGGAACAGGACACAACTTCTCATTAGGAAGATTGGGTACTATTTTGACTATATCTGTTCTATTGTCCTTCCTTGTTTGTGCTTCTCCAAACAAGCTTCTGAGGACCTACCACTGACTTTCCTCCCCTTGCTCATGCACAGGACTCATAACCAACCCCTTAAAAAGAAATAGAGCAGGGGCTGGCACCGTGGCTCACTTGGTTAACCCTCTGCCTGTGGCACTGGCGTCCTATATGGGCCCCAGTTCTAGTCCCGGTTACTCCTCTTCCAGTCCAGCTCTCTGCTGTGGCCCAGGAGGGCAGTGGAGGATGGGCCAAGTGCTTGGGCCCTTACCCCTGCATGGGAGAACAGGAAGAAACACCTGGCCATTTGGGGAGTGAACCAATGAAAGGAAGACCTTTCTCTCTGTCTCTCTCACTGTCTATAACTCTACCTGTCAAATTTAAAAAAAAAAAAAAAAGAAAGAAAGAGAGTGAATAATTTCTTCAGAAAATATTTATTTTTGTCATTTTTAGAATGCCAAGGGAATAAAAAGACAGTAATAGGTAAATATAGCACACAAAAGAGATCAATTTATGGTACACTCATCTTCAGGACAAATCTGAAAATTGGTGTTAGGTAACAGCTCATCCTATGGGATACAGACTTCAAGATTCCCAACAGAAATACCTGAGTCTATTTTGTTATATTAGAAGTCATTGTATTATATTAAATCATATCTACACAGCCAAAAGCAATGTTAATCAATCATGCTGGTTGATTTATCCAGGGATTGTGGGCTTATTAAACAGGTAAAAGCTGTTATCTTTCTTAAAATGAGCAGAATTGAGTATGACTCAATTATTTTGAATTTCAGCAATCATGAATTCATCAGCATGACATGAGGACAGAAAGGTCAAAGTAGTCATCTATTAATCATAACCCTTTCAAGAGCCCGTGCAGCTCCTCCAACTCTCCCACTCTCTTTTCTGTCTGCGTAGATTCAGCCATAGAGCACTGTAGGCTGACTATTATATGCCAGGTTTGTGTCAGTGAATTTATGTCTGCTGCCTCATCATCTAGTCCTCATAACTCTATGAGGCAGGCACACTTCTAGACCAGAAAACACAAGTTGAAAAGGGTTAAGCAACTTGCTCAAAGTCACATAATTTGTAAGTGGAAAGGTCAGAAATTAAACCAGGTATATCAACTGCCAAATTGCATTTTAACCAACTCAACCTAGAAGTAGACAACATATTTAGACAAAAGGAATCTGCTTGGATTCTGGGGACACTGCTATAAGAGAAGGTACAGAAGTGTAGGGAAATTCTGGTACTCATGTTTGGTCCTTTTTCATTGGCAAAGTGAGCTACAGATTTCTAGTTTCAATTCATGTTATAACAATGGCTCTCCAGGCCTCCAGAACTGATGCCATTGAGGTGATATAATGTTGACTCTTCAGTGTTCTAGTTTGTTCTACGAATGAAATCCTAAAGTTGGAATAATTATTGCCACATCACCATCACTATCTTCACAAGAAACCAATGGTTACAATTGTAGCTGGGGTAGTCTTGGAAAAGTCCGGTCAATTATTCAAAGAACTTGGACTTACTTCCCCTCTTCTGAGCTAGAGTTAATCCCAAGGTTCCAGTAGTTCCAAAGGTTATATCTATATTACTGCCATATCTTGTATCAAGGCTTTAAAAACCATGATAAGTAAGCTTTTCCATGTAGACCCTCCATGGCCCTTGACAGTTTACTATCCAAGGAGTTTGAGAGAGTTTAACCATTTTTAAAATAACAACAAAAGCAAACTACATATCGTCTACATTAGATCAGATGAGGCATCCACATCTTCTACCTTAGATCAAATGTGCCAACCACAAGAAAAATCTGAAGTTGGAAACATTTTATAGCTGCTAAGAAAGTCTGGCAACTTTATACTACTTAGCATCTACTGAGTAAGATATTGTCATATATCAGAGTCTTCTGTAGGTAAAGATATTTAAGGAATCTTATTCAGAGGCACCACAAAAGATAGAAATGGCCTTTCTATGTGAGCCAAAGATTCTGTAACTCACCTTTATCTTCCTGGTACATAGTAAGCACACGAAAAATAATTTTTAAATGAATGTTTTGCTCAATTGCATGTAAGCAATACAAAAAGTATGGAACATAATAATACAATCTTATTTTGCTTCAAGAAGGCTCCAAATAAAAGAAAGCAAGTTTTTAAGCAAGATAAACAGAAAAAAATCTATTTGTTTCAGGGGTCAGTGTTGTGGCATAGCAAGTAATGTTGCTTCCTGCAGCACCAGAATCCCATGTGGGCACTGGTTCAAGTCCCAGCTGCTCTAATTTAGATTCAGTTCCCTGCTAATGGCCTGGGGAAAGCAGCAGAAGATAGCCCAAGTGCTTGGAGCCCCGCCATCCATGTGGGAGATATGGATTAAGTTCCTGGATCCTGGCTTCAGCCTGGCCCAGTGTTGGCCATTGCAGCCATGTGCATAGTGAACCAGCAGATGGAAGAGATTCTCCCCCCGCCGCTTCCTCTATCTCTCTTTCCCTGCCTCTTCCTCTATCCTTGGAAACCCTTGTAACTCTTTTTTGACTGTTATATTAACAGGCAGAGTGGACAGTGGGAGGAAGGAGACGAGAGAGGTCTTCTTTGCCGTTGGTTCACCCTCCAATGGCCGCCACGGCCAGCGCACTGCGGCCGGCGCACCGCGCTGATCCGATGGCAGCAGCACGGTGCTTCTCCTGGTCTCCCATGGGTGCAGGGCCCAAGTACTTGGGCCATCCTCCACTGCACTCCCTGGCGACAGCAGAGAGCTGGCCTGGAAGAGGGGCAACTGGGACAGAATCCGGCGCCCCGACCGGGACTAGAACCTGGTGTGCCGGCGCCGCAAGGTGGAGGATTAGCCTAGTGAGCCGCGGCGCCAGCCCCTGTAACTCTTTTAAATAAAATAAATAAATATTTTAACAGACAATTTGCTCAAAGATAAAATAAAATCCAATTTACAAAAATGGTATTCATATACAACATTTAGAAAATTACGTAAAGTGAAAATGCTTATAAATCCATCTAGCCACCCTCTCAAAAAGAGAACAGTGTTTAGAATGCCCATGATACTTCCACACTTGGCTTCTTCTGGCTCCTCCCCCACCCACACATCTCCTGCATTGGTCTGACTAGTTCATATATATATGTTATCATCAAAAAAGGTGTCACATCTTCCAGGAAAACCTCCCTTATTTCCCAAATTGAGACCATGTCCACATTTCTATCCTTGAATTATTCCACTGTATAATCATTATATATTTTGGTGTCTTTGTTCAACTAAAACTCTTCTTAAGAAAAAGAACCATCTTAATTAGCTCTAACCAACTCTTATTTTTCTACAAACACTAGAACATAGTAAGTTCTCTATAAATCTTTATGAAATGCTTGAATGTGTTACAGGCATAAAAATGCACATATCTGCAGCTGATGTTGTGGTGCAATGGGTTGAGCTACCACTTGTTATACCAACATTCAAAACTGAAGTGCCAGTTACATTTCTGGTTACTCCATTTCTGTTCAGCTTTCTGCTAATGCACTAGGGAAAGCAGCTGAAGATGGTCCAAATACTAGGACCCTGTTACCCATGTGGAAGGCCTTGATGGAGTTCCTGGTTCCTGGCTTCAGCCCAGCACAGCCCTGGATGTTGTAGCCACTGGGAGAGTGAACCAGCAAAGGGAATATCTATCTATCTATCTATCTATCTATCTATCTACCTACCTACCTATCTATATTGCTCTCTCCCAGTCATTCTCCCTTTCAAATAAATAAACGCATCTTTTTTAAATGAATGTACAGATCTCATGATGGGAATGGTGGACACAGGAAGTAAATTTAGTCCAAAAGTGTACATGGAAAAGATGGCTCTCAAATCGCATTTGAGAAGATTGATGACTTTGATGCAGCCTGGTGGAAGGATTCATAGAAAATGGCAGGTAACATAGAATATCAAGCCTCAATACTGAGAAGGAATTCCAAACTATGACAATCATTTTTCAGAATATAGTAGAGATAATGAAAGGCAGGTACAAGTAAAGAGAGACGTGAAAACAATTTAGGAACATTGGTCCTATGATCCAAATCTAGATGATGCCAGCCATGACTGAGCATTACCATATTGTTATTGCCAATGTCTTGTGTGCACTGCAAGGCTGGTGTCTTTCATTCCACCTCCCCAGTACCATGTAGAGGGACTAAGCATCTCTGACAAAAAAAAAAAAAAAGCTTATTTAGCAGGATACTCACAAAGGCAGACTTACCTGCTGGTTCTGATATGCTGTGACTGTGGTGAACACGGTCTCAGGAAAATTGAACGTTTTGACCCCATCCCCCACAGGGACAGGCTTGGTGGGTGAAAGGTCACTGCTGAAATCCTTGCGAATCACATGAACTCGAGGCTGGTATTTGTGCATAGAGTGCAGAATGATCTGAAATGAAAAGGAAAACCATTATGACAGGCATGGCTTTAAGGTTGCTACATCTTTTGTAGATCTCATGCAATATAAATCACAAGAAGGAAGCATTATAGGAAGAGCACAGATTGGGAGTGGGTTATACAGGAAACTGGAAAGCAGTGTATTTGCCCATGGTGAGAAGGATAGCATTCATGGAACTATGGAGCAGGGTATTCCCTGTCCTGGGTAGTAGATGCATTTTGTTTGCTTCAGTTGGATAAACACTGAATGACTGTTCTAGCACACACAGAAAACACTTCATTGAAATACCTCACAACCTCTACATACAAAAAGTTGTTCACTATAGCTTAGAATTTTCAGCCTGGGTTCACACTGTCTTTAAATTCTACTTGCTATTATTTGCACTCATTTTTGAACTTATGGACATCCTTTTATGTCACATGAAAAGTGAATGGTGTATGAGTGTTCTCATCCCTTCAGGAAACTCTCATTTCCTTAAAGACAGGAGCTATGGCTTTAACTTCTTCAGTCTTCCCATATTACCCAGTATGAATCTTGGCATTCAGTGAAAATTCAGTACATATTTTACTGCCAAAGATAAATCAACATTTATTGCTCTAATTATGCCTGGAAAGCCTTACGACCTAACTGTCTCCTATTAATTCATAAATTTCTTGACAAATCAGCCAAAATTGTTATTCACTTGCCTGCGTTAGGTTATTGCCTTGTGAGTTATTTCACTGAATGTTATGATTTCTTTTACCATTGCTTAATTTGTCTTGTTTTCCTGTCTTGCCTCCATGACTAGACTGTAACTCCCTTGAGTACAAGAACTTTGCATGATAAACACAACCTGATGCATAGCAGATGTCTGCTAAATGTTAGATGAAGAAAAAAATACTTTAATGCTTGCTTACTTACTTAAATAACTTACAGTGGCATAGAGATTCTTATTTTTACCTGTTTGGAAAAGTAGGGGACTAAATAGCTTTAAAGCAAATGAGTGGGGAGTGGAAGAGGGAGAGATAGGATTCTTTGACTCACATGTCCTTGATCATCCAATTCATTGTTGGTTAGCTTGAGCTTGTCGAAACTGACCACCTGTCTCATCCAGGTGTCTCCAGAAGCTAGAGAATCAGGGTGTATATAAACTCGTGGAGGCACAGGGGAATCAGCATTTCCAGCCACCATCCACTTGGAGCTATGATACACATATCTGAGATGGACAAGAAGAGAGCAGAATTCAGAGACAGATGCAGAGGCCCAGGAAACATATAAAGACAGGAAAGGGGGAGACAAAGAAAAGTAATGGGAATGAAATGGAATGCAAAGGAGAAAAAGAGAAAGTAGATAACCAGGAAAAGTGAAATGGACAATGGGATGAGAAAGGGGAGGGCAGATAAGGGTTGTGGTTAATGATCAAAGCTATAGCTGGAAGGTGGAAAAACATTCTCACAGTTCTCTTTCTTTCTTCTCCCCCTCATTACCATGCACCCCTGTGTGCATGCAGGCATCCTGAACCCACGTGTCTAGCTATGGAAAAGGTATTTTACTGCAACCTTTCACCTTTCAAATGCAAACCATATAATCCCTTGGCCACTTGTTCAGGATTTTGTTCCTTATTAAAAACATCTTCCATATTGTCCTATAAAAATGCAGCCATGTGCACAGACCCTCCAAGTCTTTCACTTGTTAACCATTTCCTTGCTAACAATTTGAATTTTGAGTCATTTTACACAAATGGAAGGTCTTTGCCTTAGTGCAATTATTCCTAGAAACACCACCAAATCTTCCCATATAGTGTTTTCTTTGAGGAATCGAGTTTTGGACTTCATCATCCTCCACATTATTTTCTCTCAAAGTCACTGGAAATGAGACGTTGTTGGTAGCAAAGGAAATCAGTTCTGTCCCAGGCCTTGCCAATTTTCCCATAGTTCTGAAGAGTCATCTCCATCTCCATAGATCTGGCACTACCCACGTTCTCAGTCCTGAAGGACCCCACAGGACCGGGACCCAGACCTGGCAGCCTGGGGCATTTGATTCAAATCACAGTTCCCAATATCCTCTAGAACTGACCAGATTATCTTTCTTGCTGAGTCCTGCAATCCCAGCCGTGTACCTGTCCCCCTGACACATTAGTGTTGGCCTTCCCCACTCATTTCTCATCTCCAAATCATCACTGTCGGGTCAGGTCCTTGACCCCCAAATACTTCAAAAACAAGCCATGATTCCGTGATTTGATGGAAACCTTGAGATATCTAAGAAACTGCTACTTTTTTCTGATGAGAACTACATATGAGGAAACTTCAGGAAACTCCATGGAAAATGCATATTATGAAAAAAACTATGAATAGATTTAAAAATTTTTGCCTCAAGATAAGTTGATCTTTTTTTCTATTCTATTTTTTACTTAAGAGGAAGAGACAGAAAAATAGAGAGGGTTCCTGTCCACCAATTTACTGCCCAAATGCCTACAATGGCCCCTGGATAGGGCCAAAGCCAAGACTGGGAACTCACTCCAGATCTCCTACAGGGATGGCAGGAATACAAATACTTGAGTTATCACTGCTTCCTCCCAAAATCTACATTAGCAGGAAGCCAGGATCAGGAACCAGAGCTGGCTATCAAACCCTAGTACTCTGATATGAGATACAAGTGTCTCAACCACTAGAGTAACCCCTTGTCCCAAACTTATTTTTTAATTCCTTTTCCACAAACTTTTTAAGTATCATTGTATGAATCACCCAAGAGACATGGAGACTACATTTTTAATGACTGAGGGAAAGTTATTTACAAACTTATGCAGAACTCATGTTAAGAATAATAATTCTCCTTAAGTAAATGTTCTTCTTAAGTCTTACCCGAGTATATTCTTCTTCCCCATCACATTCAGGGTGATCCATTAGAAATATGATTGGATTTATTCCACTGGTCTGCTTCTCCTTATGCTCGCCAAAATGAATCATCCCTACTCACTTGGCATTCAGAAGTCAAATCATTCAGTAGGCTAATCACTTTCAATGTTAATTAAATTAATTTTAGGCTGAAGAGCTATATGATTTGGGGGAGACAATATACAACCCTATTCTATTCAGAGACAAAGGGAGACTGCCAGGCCAAATTGTTACTGAATTCGGCTTGCCTACCTTCACTTACTACTTTCTGCATGGTGCTCTGCCACAGGCCATTTGTATATCTTCCATTTCATGTTTCCTGTACAGTATGCATGCTAAAATGTTTCATCTAATGACTTTAAAAACTATTTTGGTATGCTGGTGATGCCCACAATTCCATATCTCACAGTCATTCTTACCTGTATCTTTTATTGTCCACAGGTACAATGTCCATTGCTATATAGTACTGCTGGTGTGGATCTAGGCCAGTGATTTTTACTCTCATGGCAGGAAACATCCTCCTATGAAGGGAAATAAGGTAGTGAACTCAGCAATCAGAGAGGTAGAAGTAGTAGAGGTAAAATATTGAAATGCACCTTCTTATAAGATACTCTAGACTCATTACTATCCAATGCACTCTAATTCTCAAAGTTGGCTCGTTGTTTGCACTTTGGAAATTATAAAATAAGTTAGAGACTTTTATTGCTGAAACAACATATCTCTTTAATATAAATTGGCCAATTTGAAGATTCATACATTCAAAGGGCTCATACAATACAATGCTCCATGTTTCTAGTTAATCTTTAACATAATATATGTATATGTAGGTGTTTGTGTGTATGTGTATATCCACATATATAGTTCCTGTTAACTATAATCGTCTTAAAGATAGATATGGTATCTTATACTCTACTTATTGTAAAGTGTAAATTTGTAAATTGCAGTTTATTGTATGTGATCATAAAATGCTTTTGACTGACTGATTTTATTTGAAAATGACCACTCTGATAATAATTTCTCTAGAAAAGAAGAAAAAGAAGAAGGTGCTACCAGTCCCCAAACAAAGGGCCACCAAAGGTTATTTTTTATGCATAAAACTGAAGGAATAAAATCTGCAAGTTCTCAGGCTGTCAACGTGTGTGTCAGAGGAAGGACCCTGTGGAATGGGGAGCAAATACCAAATGAATTCTAGTGGCCTCTGGGCAATACCTTGTTTCTACCACAATGGCTTGTTAAACTCGCCAAAGCAAGTGAGGTCAGGATATGGAACTTTACAACTTCTCTCATAATTGAAGAGAGGAGGAGAGGCAGCAGACCAAAAGAAGTATTGAGTTTCAGCAAGTCCAGAATAAAGTTCACCATTCTTTGGTAACCATGAGAAAAAAAAGAAAAACATCTAGCTTTTTTTCAATCAGGCCAGACATAAAAAGTTCTCAGTTCAAAAATTTGGATTTCCATGAATGTGCTGTAGGGTATGTGTACACAAAATACGGCATTAAGCTTAACCATCTGGGGCTAGTTAGTTGAGCTGGGCAGAGCACGGTGCTAATGAGGTCAAGGTCACAGGCTTGATCCACATATGGCCTAATTGGCTTTGCCCCATTTCATGGCCATAGACCATACCCTGACCCCAGGCAGCCATGTTGCAAATGTGTACTTGTTGCTTACAGGAGAGACTCTCTGTACTAGTGTCACACTCACTACTCATCCAGCAACAGCAACATAAAGACCAAATATACTCTGGCATGTGGTCAATGACATCACAGTCATATATGAGCAAAAGCACATAGGCTAATTATTAATTAGAAAGCCCCATATTTTAGTCTTATATTGGGCTAATGAAATTTTGATGGTGAACTACTCATAATGACTAAATCAAATATTCACAATAGATCAGGCACTTTGATCTACTTTTTTTTTTTTTTCAAAAATTTGGGAACCCTGGCCTATACACTTAGTTAGAGCTCAGTAATTCCCTTTTCACTAATAATGATTTCTCATTGTCTTAAATATAAATGATTGGAGGACATCTTGTAAGGAATGGGAAGACAGTTCTCTAAGTCACTACCTTTGCTAAAGACATGTGGTTCCTTTCAACCACTTATAGAAGCTCTATTGCCTTGTAAGAAATGGATTTCTGTTCTTTGTGGCTTCAAGAAAATGGGTTGAGTATTTTAAAAACTGATACCTGCTTTGTCTGGGACAAATATACAAAGCTACCCATCTATTCCTAGTGCCCAAGTTCTGATATAAATGAACTGCATGACTATGGATAAGCCAGTTTAACCTCAGCATCTATAAAACAAAGCAAAGTGACTAGATAATCTCTAAAGTGCCTTCCTGCCTTAAAGTTAATTCTTTTTAAAAGCTTTGCAACATGCCTATTCTTTATGTCAGTGTTTTAGTACAGAATATTAAGTGCAATCACAACACAACACTCTGGAGAAAACTAATCTTTCATAGTTCCCAAAAATAAATGTGTTTAGTTTTAATTTTAATAGCAAAATTTAGGCCAGTTCTTTTGTCTTCCAAACCCATTCATCCCTACAAGCAGCTCTGTCCGTGGTGCTGATTATACAGCTTGTATTGGCACATTCAAAGATCAAGGGCTCTGTAGACTGCAGTAGTTCTGAATCAACCAGATTATTAGTATGTGAAGTCTATGATGACTAAGATTTTTCTCTTTTTGTTAGATATTTATTTGCTTACTTAAATGAGTTACACGGGGTGTGGAGGAGCAAGAGAGAGAGAGAGAGAGAGAGAGAGAGAGCTGTCTCCTACGTGAGAGGCAGGGACCAAAGTTCTTGGAATATTTTCCACGGATTTCCCAGATCCATTAGCACAGAGCTGTATTGGAAGTGTAGCAGCCAAGAATCAAACCAGCACTCATGTGGGATGCTAGTGTCACAGGCCATGGCTTAACCTGCTGTGCCACAACATTAGCCCCTAAAGTGACTAAGATTTCCTAAGTGAGAATAAGAACATGGGGTTAAAATTGAAATGAATACTGTATAGGGAAGAAAATTATGTGAGAAGGAAGAAATTAACCAGGGCAACAGATTCACAGAAGAGAGAGCCCTCTGTATGCTTCTGAGTTGATCTAGACTTATTTGAGCAGTTACATGTAGCAGCAACAACAGCTGCTGAGGCAACCCAATACACAGACAATGAGTGTAGTTTCTAAAGATAAACAATAGATTTTGATATAATTAAAGAACAAACTGTGTGTCTGTGTTGGGGAATAGATTGATATATTCACGTATCAAGGTGAGTTATTGATTTATTTTTGCAGTATTTCTTTCTTACAGCTGTTTTCACAGGAAATCATAAACTAAATTCACTGGAGTGTAGGTAATAAGGCAGCAATATCTGAAACAAGAGTGAGAAATACAGAGACATAATAGTATTGGGGAAAGCATTTACCTAGTATTTAAGACACCAGTTTGGATACCCACATCTCATATCAAAGTGCTTGGGTTCCACCCCCAGCTATGCTCTCAATCCCATCTTCCTGCTATTGCAGACCTTTAGAGGCAGCAATGATGGCTCAAGTGATTGAGTTCCTGCCATCTAGGGGTCAGTTCCTGGCTCCAGGCTTTGGCTCCCAGCTGGGGACTGTTGTCACTATTTGGAGAGTGAACCAGTGGATGGGAGCTTTCTTTGTCTCTCTCTCTCAAAGAAACACTTTTATAAAAAAAAAAAAGGCCTAATAATATTCAAGTGAAAACACCAAAACTGAAACATTTTCTAGAAAAAATCAATTGTAATATTTCTCCTTTCTTATGAAACACTAAAAAAAGTCTCCTTTGAATACTTTCTTCTCTTCAAAGCCTAATACCACAAAATGTAGAACAAGAGTATACTGAAACCCAAGCACCTAAAAAGAGTTGACATAGACAGTAATTCTCCTTCAAAGTTGCTCCTCCTAAAATGTCTTTTAATGGTTTTATTCACTATTACAACTTACAGAAGGAAGAAGATTCCAGAAAAGAAAGAAAATAACATTTCAGGCTCAGTTGAACCTCATGCTTTTGTGATATCTTTTTTGTATTTGGAAATTTCTACATCATGTAGATGAACTGGATCCAATCAAAATGTTATTTCACTTTAAATAGCCATGTTCATGAGAACAACTTATGAGCAGTGAGGTAGATCTTTTCTGGTCTGCAGAAGATGTGAGACTATGTAGAGCAGACTGGCTTTGAAAATATGAAAATGGTATAATTATTTTTACTTAATTTCAGTTAGACATTCCTATATGCTCAAGCTTAGTCCAAATTTAGTTTTATCTAAATCATGTTAATTTTGAATACAAAATCCAAGAACTCAATCATTTCTTAAGTTAGAACTATTATTTTAGAGCACACAGTTTTATGTAGAATTCTGGAGTGACAATTTACTCCCCTGTGCCTTAGTCAAGTTAACTGACCTCTTTCACCCTTTGCACCCTCATCTGTCTAAAGGGTGACCATGTCTTATTTCATAGGATTCCTATGAAGCTGAAATGGCACAGTATTTGCTGAGTGTCCAGCACAAAACAGATAACTAAGAATGGAAAGCTGAGAAAGAGCAATAAAGGAGTAACTTAACTAAAAGTGTTTATTTCAAAAGAAATTGTTTTCAAGAGATTCAACTTTTTCAAGATATTCCATAGGTACTATTAAAGTTTTTTTAATAATTTAAAGCTAACAATAAAATACAATAGATCAACAAAAAAGGACTCAGAAGATTCACCAAGCCCAGTCTTACCCCAAAAAATATTAAAAGCATTTTATTGTTTTAATGTCTTAGAAGATATAAGTTATGGAGCTGGCGCTGTGGCATAGTAGGGTAAGCCTCCACCTGTGGTGCCAGCATCCCATATGGGTGCTGGTTTGAGTCCCAACTAATCTGCTTCCAATCCAACTCTCTGATAATAGCCTGGGAAGCAGCAGAGGATGGCCCAAGTGCTCGGGCTCCTGCACCCCCGTGGGAGACCTGGAAGAAGCTCCTGGCTCCTGGTTGTCGTGGCCTTTTGCAGATTGAATCAGAGGATGGAAGACTGTGTCTCTCCCTCTCTTGCTCTCTGTAACTCTGCTTCTCAAATAAAATAAACAAATAAATCTTTTTTAAAAAGAAGAAGATATGTTATTATTTGCAGAAAAAAACTCCTTGAAGATATTGGATAGTGAGGTAACAATTGTTTTAGAAATTAATCTTTTGGCTGTTAAGATACCGTAACTTTTCAGTACAAGGGTACTTCAAAAGGCTTATAGAAAAATAGAATTTACAAAAATTATTTTAGTATAAAACAATTTTTTATTTCATGCATCATTTTTACATATCATGAACTCTGATCCTCTGTATACATGAATTTCATTTTTTTCCCACCAAAATAAATTTATCTTTAATTCTGTTTTCATGAACTTTTGAGATACCTTGGATTCACTGAAATAACAATTGTAGTTGGAAAGTGTTTATGAAGGTAGAGGTGATTCAGATTTGAAAGGCTCCTGGAGGAAAATGGTAAAATCACAGCAAATACAATAGGACCACAACCAAGATGTCCAAATGCAGAATGGTGAGTGCAAGTTGCTTCCATGAATAAATGTGCCGGGGGAAGAGGGGTGGAATGGCTCCTACTTCTTTCGATTCTTTGAATCTGGTTATTCAGCAGAACTTGTCCTTACCTGCCTGCTTTGGTGATGATCATTTCCGTTCCAATATCGTGGAACCTCTTCCACAGGTCAGCACACTGCAGCTCCACCTGGATCTCCTCCATGGAAGACATGGCAGCAGGCACAGGGCCTGCAGCACTTGAGGCCAGATCAGGGTGAGTGTTGAAGGAGCAGGAAGTCCGCTCGGTGAGTACCTCAGAGTCTGAACCAGTGCTCTGCTCTGAATCTGCAAAACAAACAATCAAGCCTTAGGTGAGAAACCGCTGGGCTGCCCCCACCCCTGGCCCTAAAAGATGGGGGCTGGGGCATGCGGTGGATTGGGGAGAGGGGTGAACAAAAGGAGACTTAAAGCTGGGAAGCTCCAGAGCACGGCACTCAGGGTATTTTATTATTTTTTTTATGGTTTGTTTTTGTGATTTATGACCTTCTTTCAGGTTTCATGTTTTCAACATGACATCTGGCATTTTAGTAAGTTTTAGCAACAGCTGAAAAAAATTGGTCCACAACAGGCAATATAAGAGTACTAATGTCCCATGTTGAAGCGAATGAGGCCAAACAGGGGTATCAAAATAAGTGCTGAATTAAAGTAAAATAATTATTACAGACTTCTGCTCCAAATCTGACTTAGACTATTTCATTTGGGGGAAAAAGAGTCAAAGCTAACAGCAACAAGATCTTTAATTCCATATCATTCAGCATCAGTGTCCGTCAGCCACCTACTTTTAAACCCAGTAGTTTTTCCTCCACTTACATATGCCCTAGTCATCAAAAGTAATGAAAATTTGTTTAGGATCTTTAGAAGCACTTTGTCACATGTTTGAGTAAATGGCTTTTCCTAAGAGTCCGATCAGGCCATTTTGAATGGAGAAAAAGCTTCTGTTCCATATGCAGGTATATAAGCATATGGAAAAGGTTACTTAAAAAAGCAGTTGAAACAAAGGGAATAAATGAGTTCAGGAGACACCTTGATTGGTTTCTGAAGTATGGGAAGAAGGGAGGGGTGATCCAAACAGGAAGGTGGGATTGAGAGCAACCAAATAAAAAGCTGGCATGCTGGGCCAGATGGTCCCTCTCTGTGTCTTCTGTACTTGTGAACAGAAGTGGGATGGGGGACGAGGCAGTGGACTGGTGAAGAAGGCTGGAATAAGATTTATCAGAAAATAGCTGTCTGGAAATTTACTTTTAAGATCCTGTTGCTCAGAATTGTATGTCCTAAAATTTCCAAATTCAGATTAGCTAGAGTGATTTTCTGAAGTCAAGAGATGCTGAAAGCCAAGCCTAAGCACCTATTTCTCTAACCCACCCTTAACATCTAGGACTCTAATTGCTTTCCCTATAAATAGACACATATAAGAATAAGTGTTGGGGGGGCCGGCACTGTGGATCCCTTGGTTAATCCTCCGCCTGCGGTGCCAGGTTCTAGTCCTGATTGCTCCTCTTCCAGTCCAGCCTTCCGCTATGGCCCGTGAAGGCAGTGGAGGATGGCCCAAGTGTTTGGGCCCCTGCACCCACATGGGAAACCAGGAAGAAACACCTGGCTCCCAGTTTTGGATCGGCATAGCTCCAGCCGTAGTGGCCATTTTGGGGGTGAACCAACAGAAGGACGACCTTTCTCTCTGTCTCTCTCTCTCACTGTCTATCTCTATCTGTCAAATAAAAAAAAAAAAGAATAAGTGCTGGGAACTGCAGCATTTTGCTCTGACAGATCACTTATCAATGCTGCCAACAGTCAGAACTTCTGGGACATAAGTCCTTCACACTCAGAACATGGAAGAAGGATGGGACAGAATGCCGGACCATCTCACTGCCAGCCTCTATTAGCTGTAGCAGTCTCTAGACTTGTGAACAATACATCCCACAGTTTCTTATTTTTTATTCCTTCTTGCTTCAACTTTTTCTCTCTCAACTTTTTCTCTCTCAAACCCAGGCAACATATCTGGCAAGAGCATTCCATGACTTTGTCAAAACCAATTAAGAGAAAATTGTCATTTCTTTTTGTCCTCCCCAATCCCTCATACATCATTTCTAAAGACATTCATGTTGATGCAGAACTAAAGGAAACTTACAAATCTAGGATAAGTCAGTCCAAAAACTTTAGCTTACCCACAGTCACTAGTCTAGTCACTATCTTTGCGGGGGGGGGATACTTTAAAAGTTTTCTAATTAGGTTTCAGCTGTCTAAGCATATAATTTTATACCTTGGACTAAGTAGCAACTATTTTTGTTCTCTTTTTTTTTTTTTTTTTTTGACAGGCAGAGTGGACAGTGAGAGAGAGAGACAGAGAGAAAGGTCTTCCTTTTGCCGTTGGTTCACCCCCCAAGTGACCACTACAGCTGGCGTGTTAGAACTGGCACGCTGCACTGATCCGAAGCCAGGAACCAGGTGCTTCTCCTGGTCTCCCATGGGGTGCAGGGCCCAAGCACTTGGGCCATCCTCCACTGCACTCCCGGGCCACAGCAGAGAGCTGGACTGGAAGAAGAGCAACTGGGACAGAATCCGGCGCCCCAACCAGACTAGAACCCAGTGTGCCAGCGCCACAGGCGGAGGATTGGCCTAGTGAGCCGCGGCGCCGGCCTGTGTTCTCTTTCAAGAAGAACCACTTCTCTAAGATGAGAGATACTGCAGAGTGACAAATCTGCATCCTAGCCTGATCTCTGTTCCTTTCAGTAGCACAGTCATTGCAGCATCACACACTCAGTCAAATACAATAATTCAGATCCCCTGAGACAAAGATTTCCAAATCCCACTTGTTTCTGTGATAGTCCAAGAGCTCCTCACTTATGAATCTACTGAATTTCTCCAAAACTTCCCAAGACAAGGATTTTTAAAATAACTTTGATCTACTTTTGAGAGTAAAGTGTTATGAAATCTCTTCATCTTAAAGTGCCACAATTATGAAAGAGTTGCAAATAAACACCCTAAGTAGGGCCCAGTAGAAGTTATGGACAAATAATATCTCCAACCTATGTTTAGGAAGAGAGAAAGGGATGAAACGGGATCATTTCGGTAAGTGATCAATATTTAATAATAGCCATATTGAAGTTGTGGTTAGAAGGGGGACTACAGCTGGAGAATCCGGAAATCAACTCTGCTCTTAACTCACTTGTCAACTGTAATAAAATAGGGACTCAAAATGTAACATTAAATGGATTAATGAAGAACGTTAGACAAGTCACTTAACCACAGGTGGCCTATTTCCTCATCATGCAATGAGAAGGACTGAACTAAAATCTTGTAGAATCTCTTCCACCTCTAGTGACTTCAAGAATTTAAGAATCCTCTTGAGTGCAAATGATAACTCAGACAACCTCTATAAGAAGCATCAGATTTACAACTGCTTGGGCAAGACAAGTTAAATGAACAAAAAGGCTAGGGACCCTGATTCACATGATCATAGGAGTTAAAGAGTTGAGTGGGTATTCTCAAAGGGTTTACAGTTTCAATCGAATCAATCAATTAGCACCTATCAGCATATGGCCCACGATGAGGTACCATGTGGATAATTAGAAACAGAATCTCAGACCTTGAGAAGTTTCCCAGTTAGTGCTGATTAATTATGTGTTTATTGAGTGCTTATTGTGTGCCCAGCACTGTGCTATACCCTGAAAAATACCAAAGTACATATTAAGACCCCTCTTTAAGGTATTCACAGTACAGACAGAGACAGGGAGCCTTCACAAATAATCAGAAATCAACACAAATAATTAGCTCCCCAGTTTCCCACAACATTACATATCACATCCTATTTCTCATAGAAATTCAAAACAGAGAGGAATCTCGGGGAGTCAGAACAGTCTTGGGAAACTTCTAGTTACTAGAAAGGAAACAGACAAGTCTGTGGAGGAAGAGTAGTATGTGCCCAGGAAACGCGTTTTCAAAGGTAATTACTCCCTCACAAAATGGAGCTCAGTGCTTTTATATATTGAATATATGCACCAGCCCACATTTGCAGTAACATGAATATACCATGCAATTATCCATTCTCAACTATTTCTTAGATGCGATAATTCAGAATGAACATTATACTTCGCACAGTATTTTTAAAACCTCTACAGGAGTTAAGGCCACCTGTAAGGTAAGCTATCCTACAATGTCCCTAAAATAGTAATTGCAGAGTTAATACCAATTGCCTAGGTAAAAATAAAGCTTAACCTTTTGTAAAAATACATTTCTAAATCATAGTTATATAAAATATTTAAGCTAACCAGATCAACAATTTTAACTATTAATCAGAATGTGTAATCAGGTTAGCTAAATTATGAATATAAGAAACATAGATGGTTATTTTAATCAAATAACATCTATCCAGAAATACAGTAAGTTCCTTGAAAATCAAAAATACCTCTGGTTTTGAGTTTCTTTATTCTTGGAAATTCGTGACTCCCTGTTTTTAAAAATTAACCATTAGGAACTCACTTGAATGGCCCAGAAATATTTCTTAACTATAAAATTCCTCACTTTCTATCTCTAGCCTATTTTGCTTTGACAATACTAAGTTCCCACAGACAGTTGTTTAGTTTAGAGTAAGCTCAATTCTCAAGCCATGGCAATGATAGCAGTAATAAAACAGCTTCTTAATTCTTGATTCATCTTTCCAGCCCATAGGGATGCAACAACATATAAATTTCTGTCTATTTTGTGGGTAAGGAAATTGAGACTAAGAGAAATTGAAAAGTGCGATGTAGCTCTCTGCCTTCCTATCAAATGATCAAATCTTCCCAAAATCTTACCATGTTCAACTTTGATCAGTGCAACCAATAACTCTGAAACAACCCTCAACTGTTTTAACCACTCCTACAACTGAAATGGCTTAAATATGTTTGATCTTGGGCAAGTCACATAACTATTCTGGTCCCCAATTTCCTTAATCTTTATAGCACAGCACATGCACATTTAATTAGAGGTGCTATAAAGTCCCCTTTAACTTTAATGTTTAATGGATGCATTAGTAATGCAGCTGAGAGACCACCAAATCTAACAAGAGCAAACCAACCACAATCTGTTTCAGTTACATAAATAGAAAATACCTACATTGCAAAAGGTTTCATTTTAATGACACTTAGTATCAAAATTAGACACTATTAAAGCATATTTTACAGTGTTCTAGGTTTTCTGCATCTCCACTGAACAGATAATTCTGAGGAATCATTCTTCACTATGGTGAGTAAAGCATGCTTACATCTTTGGTTCTGTTAGTTACCAGCAGTGGGATTTCTGAATGTCTC